TCAAATTGAGGAGGGTTCAGAGAAGAGCCACAAGAGTGATTAAAGGATTAGAAAACCTGCCTGACAGTGATCAACTAGATTAAGCTCCTTGATCTTAACAAAGAGAAGGTTACGGGGTGACTTGATCGCAGTCTAGTACCTACATGGGGAGCAGATGATTTAATCATGGGCTCTGCAGTTTAGCAGAGACAGGTGTAACATGATCCCGTGGCTGGAAGTGGAAGCCAGACAAATTCAGATCTGGAAATAGGGTGTGAATTCTTACCAGCAAGGGCAATGAAGGGTCCCTCAGTGGCACTCTTTAAATCAAGGTTGGCTGTTTTTCCAACAGCTCTGCTCCAGGGCTTGTTCTGGGGCAGAGCTCTGACCTGTGCTCTATGGGAGGTCAGAGTGAGGGATCACAGTCTGACGACAAACAAGGCGAAACTGCCTCCCGTGATTTCCCTTGGCCAAACGGAGCCACGCTAGGAGTCGACCGAAGAGCCTGGTTCCAGGGTCGTAAAGCAGCTGCTGACTCAAGGATGTTTCAGTGTGAGGTGCTCTACTCAAGGCATGTTAAACAGGCCCGATTCCAGACCGTGCTGGGAACCTGCTGGCTGAACTCAGACCTCTCCTTGGTGTCTCAAACTGGCCTTCCTCCCCCACCCCCATCACTAACCCCGTTTGAAGCCCTCGGCCATGCAGCGTGAGGTGAGCTGGCTTCGTAGACTCGCTCCCTGTCAATCACCTGAGCTGCGGAGCTGAAGTAGAGCAACGCGTGTCTGACCACGGGACTCTTCAGCCGACAGCGTCCCGCCCGTTAAGGAGTGGAAGAGAGGCACTTTGTGAACGGACGTCCCTATGGACAGCAGAGTGCAGCTTCTGGTCAGGGAAGCAGCTATGTGATACCAGCCCCTCCCCCTGCATCAGTGCCCCCACCCCTGTGCCAGCAGACGGGAGGCACAGACAAGCTTCCCTCTGGTGAGCCCTGCAGGAGCGGGCACAGCTAGGGGAGAGCGCCTCGCAGTCTGCTCTGGCACTGTGAGAGTAGGACGGTTATTACCCGTCACCAGGCAGCAAGACCCAGCCTGTGTTCTCACGTCTCGGGGGCATTTGCTGTGTTCAGTTCCTAGCCCCCGGCACAGCAATGTGACCTCCTGAGCAAAGAGAGACTAGCCGTGCAGGGGGAGTTCGCTGCCTGGTCTGTCGCTCTGTTTGCCGTAACTGGTGGGGATGCAGGACAGACCCAAGGGAGCCCTGTAAGCCACTCGCTTTCTGGGCCCCGGGGACTCTGCACCCCTTGGAGGAACGGGGCCCGCACTCCTAGTGTGAGCACATTGGTGCCACTAGCAACCTCTGTGAGCCACTTCCGCAGAGCCCGGGGCCCTAGTGTTAACCTCGTGCATGCTGCATCCCACCATGGCCGTTCCCCAAGGGTCGAATCGCTGGCCAAAGCCAGGACCAAGGCCCTCATGGCCAAGCAGCTCCTCCAGGGCTACGGGCAGCCTAGACAGGGTGTCTGCTGGGCCGGGCCTGCTGCACACTGCTCCTGTCGGGAGAGCTGCCAGCCTGGCTCAAGCGGCTCTCACTGGCGCTGTCCCTCGTGGCTTGCTGGAAGTGGGGGATCTAGGGCACAGCAGGGCAGCCAGCCGGTGTTTGCTTGGCTCCTGCCCGGAGCCCATCCTGTGGGGTCACCTTGCCCAGTGCCGCAGGCTCCCTCATGCCAAGGCCTCCTGTCTGCCACCCACATAGAGCTGGAATCACCCGGGCCAGGCTGGGATCTGCCCCATGTCTGATATCCCAGAGGAAAGACACTCACCTCCTCCCCACACAGCCACGTGTGGCCCTGTCACACTCCAGCCCTCCCAGAGATGGACTCATGGAGCTCTGGAGTTAGCTTAACAGAGAGACAGTTTGATGATGGCCTGTAAATACCTACAGGGGCACAAATATTTGGTAATTGAGGGCAGACAAAGGCCTAACAAGTTCCAGGGGCCAGACGCTGAAGCTAAGTAAAGTCAGAACAGAAACCGGGTTTTTAGCAGCGAGGGTAACTAGCCAGCGGAGCAGCTCCCCCCGGGCCGCAGCGGAGAGGGGTCTGGTCCTTCCTGTGCAGTGTGGGAAGCAGTCAGGATGGGGGAAGGGCTCTCAGTAGCGCCCCCATAGGGAAATGGAGGGAGGCTGCTCAGAGGGCTTCCCGTGTCAGTGTGGACGTGGGTGGCCCAGCGCATGCTCAGCCGCAGGCGGGAGAGGCCCCTTTAGCAATCCCCTCCCCAAGGCGAAGGGGGCGGGAATGGGTTATATCACTCCTCAGGTCTCCTTACTGTGAGGAGAACAAACCCAGTGTCCTATCTGGCAAGGGCACAG